ACAGTTTGCCTGAACATGTGATGGAGGCCACATCTGTGGAGAAGTTCGAAACGTTGTTAGGTTTATATTTTACCCCTATTCGATTCAGAGAACGATTTCACACTTACGATGACATATCAGATTTGTGATTTCTGCAATACTGTGAGTCAGATATTTTAAATGTTACATGAGATTGATAACGATATTCATGGCTGACAATTTTTATAACGTTTTTCACCATATTTCGAAAGAGTTGTACAGAATTCATTTCTATCTGCTCTATAATATAGTATTCAGTATGCAGTAAAGCTTTGCTTCACCCATGCAGGCAGCAGCTTGCCTTTCAATCATACCCAAGAAGTTATCTTCCAGAACTGGTCCCAAAGGACTACCCATAACGACATCGTCGATCTGGTTGTAAGCCATCCCTCCAAACTCGAATCGCACATTCTCAGTACACAAGATCAAGTCTCTCAGGTATTTCAGAGGAAAGCCCAAAGAGAGGTTCCGACACAAAAGAAATTGGTATAGGTCATCGACCGTTTCAAGTAGGGGCACATTCGTAAAAAGCGATTCCATGTCTATGGAATACATGAGCTCCGCGTCGAACGTTATTTGTTCCAGTAGCGTAGCGACTGACGAAAGCAATCCAAAGGTTAACATATCGCGCAACCTATGTCTACTGATTGCGTAAATGTAGTGGTTGAATGGGACTCAGTGTTTCAAATCTAGGCTACATTAAAGATGGATATAATGTGTGCAGTATTGAATTTGATTCACTTCAATTCCTCAATATCGCGCGCCAGGGGTATCGACGATATGACTTAGTATTTCCAGAAATTCTCGTTAGGTGAATCACCAGGCGAACGGGACTGTCCACTTGTGAGCCGGTTCCACACAAATACTGGACAGTGAATATATTCTGCTTCATAGGACCAGAGCTTTTACGTAAGACTCAACCTACTGCCAAATAAGCATGCGCAGTCTAACCCCTGCCATACTCACTAAGAGGCAACAAGTGAAGACAGACGAAAAGGGGTATGTGTATTTCTTCTTAAGGGTTCTAAAGAGATCAGGTTGCAAAGTTTAGTGTGATGACTTCAAATCGTACCTAGACGACTGTCAAATAGGATACCCTTTGCACCAAAACATGACTTGCTAACCCTTACCCTCAACCACGACGGTCTCATAGGTTGATCACCATTTAATAAAATGAAATTGCGGGGATGTTTATATACGCAGAACGAACCATCAACTAGACTTCCGGGCTGGAGTCCCTGTGCCCCGCCTTGTGCTTGGCTCGAGACTTTACATGACATAGCTCGCAGTCGATACCAGTGTCGCGGATGCTGTCTTCTCCCAGTCGAAGTGCATGTGTCCGGTTATCTGCGGAGAGGTGGATGATTATGGCGCAGCACAATGATAGTCACAAGAAAGCTGTCTCGCCGATGCCGCCTTATCTGTCCACGACAAGCTAAATATGGTAAAGTTAGGTTGTTGATATGGTGTAAACGCCTTGGCCCTGGATGATCGCTTAGAGCATTGTTTTACGCTAGGTCTCCCTTCTATCCCTCGTTCCTCAGGTTACTGTAGCCGTACGACAGCGAAGCATCCGTTCAAATGATTAATGTATCGCCGTTGCTGATGGTGAATACTAAAAATAGAGAGCTAGTAGACATGCGTCTGTGTTGCTCCACCGTAAACAGTTCAGTCACGTGAGCGGATTTACGTCACTGAAGCCTGAGCGTCTGCTACTATTACAGCTGCGCAACATATTATTCGCGTGCGATGCGCTTTCTGCATCTGAAATCTAGGAATTGCACGAATTCCGACACCGATTTTGCCTCGCCAATTTTCGTAGGCAAACTGTTCCCATATTGCACCACTCACCGCATAGTGGGTGAGCTATCCGCTTTAGGTCCGGTACCACTACATTGTAGCGGTGCCCACGTGCGTAGTTCGTGCACACACGTGAAACAGTGGCCTCAGCATGGGGAATTGACCCAGATGCAATGTCCGATGCGTCATAATGAGATCAACTCTAAACCGACGATACGACACGGTGTACAGCCCTAGTCGTCTGCATCGGTCTTCGTACGGCATACCCCGTAAACTGAGAGTGAGCCTGGCAGCAACACGGTAATCACGTCCGTCTTTACACCTCGCCAAGGGTGATCCGTCCTTGAGCATCGGCCTAACGATGCAACAGAAGAGGCGAGTGGCAATTAGTTCAGACCAAATGCAGGATCTGTGTTTGAGTGCCCAAAGTATGTGCAGTCAGTTTCCATATTGCTTGATGATAAGAAAATATCTGAAAACGGATGGGACAATCCATTATGGGAGAGGATGCATGAAACAAGAGATGAACCTAAACTTATTTAGCACCAGGTGCCTTACGATGGACGGTCAGTGTGTGAGCGTGGGCAACACATATAAGATGACTGTGAATCCTAGTGTCAGCAGTTAGTGAGGCACTGTTGGTAGGAATAAAATAACAGTGATAAACAGCCGAATTGCCATAAGCGCAATTTCCAGACCGAAACGTCAATAGGGCGTGAGTAGTGTATCAGGTGAGGCAGGCAGATTAGTCAACCCTACGAGGCAACCGATCAGATGCGAAGCGGAAAAGCTCGACTAACGCCGCATCGAATCTCGCTGATTGGATGACGTTTGCCGAATGTGGTTTAACTGGACTAGAGGAAATACTATTGGTGGAACTGTGTTGCTGGGATGGTACTAGACAGACCATACATAATAAAGCAATAGGTGTTCGAGTTATTCTATACTATACCGCTGTTTCGGTTTTCCTCGATAACCCGTTTGTCCCTGAATGACCGATATTTACGATAGCTACGTCCTTCGGTAGATTAGCCGGCTTTGGTTCCGTGATTGTCGTCAAGAAAAAACCCGATGGAAGCAACGGAATTTGAACAGACTTCTGTACCTGTATAACGTACCACTGCAGATGAATTAATAGAATCTTCTATTACCTCTGATCGGTTCCCAAACGATGACAAGGTCCTTGTGAAACAGTGTCTCATTGACGAAGTATCCCGTAAGCCACGGATTGTGAATACTTATCGTGGTCATTCCATTTGGTAAGTCAACGATAAGATGCAGCTACATCCCAGAGTTGAAGAAACAGAAGCGGCTCGATGATTAGATCAAGTGACTGAACAGACGGCAGCATATCCTCCGTGTCCATCTGGCAAGTAAAAGTGCTTCACGACGCCAGCATACCTTTCATCCACAAAAATGTACAGGCATGCAAAAATGTTCAAATTGATGTGACTGTAACTTCTCTATCCGATACGGAGACTCTACGTTTATTCTTGTGCCTTATATCGGTTACTGTAATCACCAGACTTCGTTCGAGTGACGTTAAACAGAAGGTTGGCGAAGGGTATCCCAAGGTAATTAGCTGGTTGAAAACAGACTATTATTTGGGTAAGTGAAAACAGATGTTAGCATCCAAAAATCTGTTATCGCAAAATGACCCCAACTATCCAAGTTTATCTACAATCGTACCACACAATGGAATTTGGGTCGAAATGTCACGTTTACTTGGATGGTTCTCAAAACTGCTCAAACAGCCCGCTCTCCATTCTCACCAGAAAAGGAGTATGGACTTGCAAAAAGGCTTTAGCTGTAAATTTTGCAGTAAAGAAGTTAGGGAGAAAATGTCATCCCACTCCGCTCATTTTGATGACTGATCACCGAATAGTAAAAATGGAGTTTCAAGATAAATATATGTGCTATTCCAACGATATTTTATCTAGCGCACACAAGAAATAACGCCATTTAACGAGCAGCACCGTCAACATAGTTCATCCGTGAGGTGTGTGACTCAGGTACGATGAGCTCTCGAAGTTTTGTGATTCTCAAGTTGGATGTCTCGGAGTTCCTTGAATTTCGACACCAATTTCGCCTCGACTATTGTCCGGGACAAAACGCTCGGAGAATAGAAAGCTATACGCTTCAAGGTTCGGTCTACAAGCCTGTCCCCGTGCACCCGTATGCTACTTAGTGCCATCAGCTTTGAATCGAGGTAGTGGGACAAAGTCCACGCAACAAAATCAATTCCATAGGTGGATTGTCGCAATAAACCAACACTTTGAAGTCCGTTTTACGTCCACAACGACGACCGTGAAAGTAAACGAGATCCTTCTCGTTTAAGCAATGTACAGTCAACAATTTCAATGAAAATGTGTCAATGCGTTAGTTCTTTACTTGGAGTGTTTCATGTTAGCAGTAGATTATGACAACGGAAGTCAGAGGCTCGATACCTTTATAAGTCAAGCAATTCACAGAAGCAGTGCTATCATAGCGCACAAATATATCAAGAGAACAGAACACTAACGACTGGTATCGATCTAGGTGCCAGTGTCAAGTCGGTCATTCACATGAAACATGGCAAAGGAAAATCGGTTTCCTCACTAGTTGCCCAAGTCAGTAAAGCCGCATTTGTGAGTATGCCCTAGAGTACGATTCTGTCGGACTATCGGCGTAGGATCGTTTGCCAACGAATGCTCGACGAGGCTTGAGGGTTCGCAACACGTGGTTACATAACAAGTGGATACGGACAATGTGGCGAAGACAGAAGTCAATGGTAGACAGCAATGGGAACGCAAGCATCAGAGTGTGACTGGCAAAGCTTATGAAAAAAGTAAGATGGAAACCAATGTGCCTGGCGAAGTGGTACAAAGGATCGCGTGTCTCACTATCATGTTAATCTGGTACATAATTAGCGCAATCTAGGGAAGTATACGGCGAAGAGGCAAAAAGCTCCGATTCCAGCTTTATTCAGACCGATTAGAGCGGAAATTTGGTACACAACCTGGTTAATTGTTATTCCTGGGTGAGGAATGACGGAAAACCTCATGGAGGGTGCCCACAGTGTTATGTAACAAGTGTAAAAGGGTTGTATCCGGAGAAATGCAGGCGGGAGATCGATAACTAGATGAACTGTTTATTAAATCATAAGAAGTTTATTAGGAGCTATAAAAATTCGCGAAGCATACTTGTTTGGTCCATAATTTTGATGCATTGGACAAGTTGTGGTAGGTGTAATGTGCCTGCGTGATTCCACAGAAAAGGACGGACACGATACCTAAAAGTGGTAAAACAAACCTCGGTGTAGATCACAATGATAACGAACAGAAGCAACTGGACGAGCAAGTCCATCAATTCACAAGGGCACACCTGATTGCTGGATGTAACGGCATGAGAATACGTCTGGAAGTTGGTTTAAAATAATTACAACTGATAAAGAAATGGAAAGAAGTAAACAGCCAACTGTGAGTGGAAGTGTGCTAAGAGTTAACAATTAGTCATACTAAGGTGGCTTTTGTTTACTGAACGCGAGAGCTGCCCCATTTATCAACTGGGGGGTTCAGAAATGGAAAATACTTAAAGGTGAAAGTACGTGGTGTAAGAGACAACGATCCTTTTTGTGACGAAAGATAACCGCACATCTCAGGGGTCACATGTTCAACTTGTGCACCAAGCGGTAGCGAAATTAATTTGCAAAACAAGATAGTATCAACTACTTGTTTTGGAAAATACCACCGCAATAGATACTGACACAGGAGCAGTCCGGTTGTGATGGCAGAAAAGTACAAACCGGAACTGATAGGGTATACAAAGCAACTGATCTTTGGGGTGTTGGATTTCAGCATCTGAATACAGCGCACTTTTAATGGAACATAAAGGTACGCATTGGAGCAATAACAGAGGACTAGGCGGATGAGAAAGGGTCAGTGGAAGAGACGAGTAAATGCCACAACGTCAAATACACAGAAGAAAAATTGGTGCAAATTCCACCCTTAGCAAAGGTATGTGAAAAGAGCAGGAAGAACTGAAGGTAGAAAATACTACTAATTAAGCTGTAGTTGAACATAGGCGCAGGGGTGAAACGTCATGGAAAAGAAAAAAATGAAGGTCTTACGACCGTTTGCGTGCACCGACAAGAGGAGAGAAATACAAAATGTTTTTATTTTCCAAAGCGCATCCCTGGATGTACTAGTAACATACGGCACCCAAGGAACAGTCCGGCAAAAAGCGAATCGGTTATCAATGACAAGGTCTATACAGGCGTAAAATTGGGGTAAAATTGCTGATGAACTCAAATAAGAGTGTGATTACTCTGTGCATGTCTGTTACAGTCTGGTACCCTTGGCAGAAACGAAAAAACAAGGAATACTCTTCTTTCGCAAAGCATTAGACAAATTACACTAAGCGACAAGTTGTCCGGGGCAGTATTAAACCTACTGACGTGTTGTATTCATTGTGATGATGGCCTAATTTCTTGCGTGAACACGATGTATGTTAATCGTGCACAAATATAAGCGACAGCTGTATTGCCGCTGATAAACGACAATCTGACAGTAATTTCGACCGTAGTTATCATATCTTAGAAAGATAGATGTAATCTGACATTGTAGCTTCGAAGATTAAAAAAGTAAATCTATCCCTGTATTACAAAATTGTTCATTGAGAGACACAAAAATTTTTACGAACCGGGGCGATTCCAAGAACCTCCGCCGTATAAACTGTGAAACACAGATAACGTGTGATAGAAATACCTCGCTAACAAACGCGACTCCAACGCAACGTCTTTACGCTTAAAGATATCCATTGTCATCGGGATAAATAACTCCAAGCCATCAGAAGTGCAGCTTCCATTTGGGCGTATAAAAACAACTAATTAATTACAAAACATAAAAAATTATTTTGCATCGATCGTGCGAGTAAGTATACGAATGTGGACCTGATAAAAATCTAACCATCCATCCATCCAACTCTCGCTGTTTTCAGTATTGTCTAATGCTTCGCTTGCACCTCATAATCTTTCCTCACTTCAAAGGGTCTCCAAATGGTCAAATCGCCATATCGTTGGACCACGTAGTATTCCTTCCGGTGTGATAAAAACGGAGCCTTATTCAGCCATTACTTTCTGTTAGATACATGCCAGGATGGCAAGTACTCTGCTATGTATAACATCTGCATTTGGCATTACGCGCCGCTGTGTAATTTGCGGTGCATCACGCAATATGCCCGTAGCCACCAATCGGAAGCCTTCGAGGAATCATGCATTATGTTATCACGAAATACGTAATTGTTTTTATCATTGACTATTTTATTTTACGCGTCTTTCATCGCTGGTCATAACTTCGCCAATCTCCTGAGGTCACACACTGAAGTTTCTAAGTTAATCAGTGTACCCAAGTAAGGCGAACTGCCTGCAAATTTACCAGTTGTAAAAAGTACTATACTCCGAAGAGTCAAATGGGCGAAGAGGTCAACACAATTGGCATAGAAAATGGCCCGAAAATGTTACAGCGGTAATGAACTGTACGGATTTAGATCACACCGGAAGGAGGTCAGATCGGGTTGAAGTGCCTTTGACTAATCGATTACAAAAAATAGCCTGAGAGCCTGAGTGAGAGCGGTGGTGCCGAACATGGTTTCAAACCACATCAGCACAGTACCAGATGGGAGTGGAAGTACGTGTGAAACCATAGGGCAGACTACCTCGAATGGAAGCATAGCCTCAGGAGACGGTTCTACGAACGTCTGTAAGTAAACCTTTCACTGTGGGCTGAGTGTACCGCGATGACGCCCGCCTCCAACGCGGATTCGAACCGGTGACCTAAGGATTGCAAGCCAGGTGTGCAATCCTTTGGTCACCGGCCGTCAACGCTTGTCACAGCAGTCACTGAATCATTGGTGCCATATTGAAAATGTCGTGTGAATGGATTGCGAAACAAATTAAAGAGAACCTTGGTGAAATCAATCACTGGGACCGTAATCGTTGAAGCAGATGGAGATAGGGTATTGTCCGCCCAAAAACACTGCCCTCCAGGACCGGTGTCCAATGTATTTGATCTTATCAGATAGAGATAACAGACACAAAAACCCGGGACAATTGAGATGCAAGACGGAACTTCTAACCCTATGGCCACTAAGTCACGACGGTCAACGCCTGGCACAACGGTTAATGACTTATTGGAAGAGTCATTTTAAAGCACTTATTGTGGGAATGGATTATGACACGCAGCCACAATCTGATTCATTCTGAAGTAGAATCCGGTTAGTTCGGTTATAGAGAACTCATTGGAAGCCAACACGGATCAGGATCATAACGAACAATAGGCTCCAGTGTCACAATACTCGATAGAAGGAAGTTGTCAGCCTATTAGTCAAAGGTAGAGTGTACAATGGTGCGTAGCAATGTTCCTTGGTGAAACAGAGGCATCGCCAGTTCGCAATGAAGATTTTGTGAAATTGGTCAACATTGAGCACCGATGTTTGCGGAGTAACGCTTACATTCGGGACGAATACCGGATGAGCAAAACGGAAGTACACTAGGCGGTGTTTAGAAGGAAACTCTCACGTGCTTCACTGGACAGCAGTATAGTATAGTTAAACCAATTACGCTGGCTAGGTCGTGTCCTCGGTATGCTCATGAACCGCCTTCCTCGGCATGCATTGTATGACGTCATTGCACCAAGTTGGGCGAAACAGCGATGGGGCCACATCGATGACATGATATAAGGGTGCGTGAAAATTGTACAACAAACTTTGCCACCTTAGGGAGTGGAGACCTCTGGATGAGCCACATGAACTTAAACTTCAGTTTCATTTTATTCTTCCTGGTGTCTTCCCTCATTCTACGGAACATTGTTGAAAACCATTAACATGATGGAGCAAATGATGACAAGTCAATACAAGACACTACGGAGCTCGGAACACAACAAAGATTCACTGAACTGAACCAAGCTGAGTAAAGGTCGTGCCGGAGTTTACCTAGACTGTGACCTGCTCATTGACCTACGGCACTTTGTGCTGTGGCTATGCCAGTCCCACCGAGATAATCCGCTGAGCAGAAACGGAAGCTTAACAATCATGTCACTATCGCGAATTGTAACAGTACGGGAAGAAAGCGCAGAGTCCGCTGCCAGTTGACGCATACTCCGAGTTAACGTCATTGGATTTCAGTGGTGGCAGTTGACCGGAGCTAATAATAATACTAGCGGAATGCACACTGAGCCCATACAATCGATAAACACAGACGGATGAAACAACGTGTCTATGCTATAAACAACGCCAGTGATTACGACAGGACGAGCAAGTTTAGATTGGAAAACTATGGAGTGAATCCAGGCGTCGCGGTTCGCGTTAACAGAATGCCAATCGCCAAAATTGATGTGAGACGCATCGAAGAGTAATAAAGTTGGAGATAACGCGATTACGGTCAAAAGAAGTGGAAAGATAGCAGCTAGATAAAAGAGATCGAATAGAGGAGAGCTATTTACTCCGTAACTTCGCCAAGCCAGACAACGTGTCTAGTCCAAGAGGTAATCGATCGCGAGGTCCCGGTCGACCGGTGGCCTCGTAACCCAAGGGCTGTCGGTTCCAAGCTGTGCCAGAGACATCGAAATATCTGTAGCTCTCAAGCGACTAGTGATGGTCGAATGGCAGCAAAGTGTCGGTGCAACACGCCAGCGTACTGCCGAGACCTTTTTCACGGTGCAGGAAGAATTAAAGTACCAGTTCGGTTGTCAGTAAGTCGACTTTTTCATTCCATTTGGACACGTTATCGACTGGACATCTCGCGGTTTCGCCCAACTAGATGCAGCGAAAGCATATAATACACACCAAGGAAGACAGGCAAACAGTGTGTGGAGGATATCACTTAGTCAACATAAGCGACCAGATTTGGTAAACATTCCAGTGCGGCACTAATGGGTTGGCTTCCAAGCACTAACTAGAAGGCTTCACCAAAGCATGATCAATGGGACAACTGTGTTTGAAGATGATAGTTTATGTAATAATATGAATTCCAATGAGGATATCGAGAGCTTTGTTTGGTAGGAAGGAAAAGCCACTTGTCGAGCGAACTTAATAGTAAAAATGACCCACCTAGTGGAGCCTCATAATGACCATTAGGGTGAGTGTAGTGCTGACACGTGCAGAAACATAGAATAAGTCCAAGCATATGTATTAAGTTAGTTCGTGACTGTAAAACAACACTGGCCACCCAAAGGTAGCACAATATGTCACCAGTTCGGTGTACGAGTGACAAACTGGGAGTGACCAAACGGTCCGAGTTGATCACTAATGCAAAGGACACGCGTCCGCATGGATGCTAAAGTAAGTGAACAAGTTGTTGGCCCATCTCGACTTTCAGGTAGGAGTACACGCCACACGCCTCGTGCTTGGTTCGAGACTAGGCTATCCACAGGCATATATTGCAGTTTTCCTGTCGTCTTCCAGTTAGATTACCTTACTAAGGTACACCTGATGCTAAGTAATCTATGACTTAAGGATGACTAGGAAATGAGACAGTGTAAACCACAGGGAAACTGTCTCTCTGATGCTGCCTTATCTTCGTACGATAGCCAGCTGTTTGTAATCGGATGTTGTTGGAAAAGGTACAGTTGCCTTTCACATGAATATTTGTTTAAGGCGCCCAAGTTTTACACCTCATTATTGTATCTCCAAGGTTAACATGAATGTATGGCAGTGAAGCATCAGATTGAGTTAATGATGTACTGCTGTTGGTGATGGACACTTTGCGAAGCTATGCAGAGCAAGGAATGTGAAAAAAAGCCACAGTAAAACAATTATTCAGAGGGCGGGGGCCGTCGCACCACCAACTTATGTTCCGATGTTCAGCACGATTGGCACGGCAAAGATATTTCTGACGAAGTGGTAGGGAGATTTAGACGGTACAAATACAATCCAGCACGTTAGATATACAGGTTTTCTCGCTATTCCGAATTAAACACCCAGAAATTCTCCGCAAGAGTTCTAGCCCAGCCGAAGAGAAATCAGAAGTCCAACGACCTTGACCGCGAAAAATGTGTTAACAAAAACGCCGCCAAAACGCTGTACAAGTACGCCAGACATACACCAAATATATAGGTGGCTCAATGACCTTCGGATTCTAGAAAACGAAGGTAAACTGGTAAAATTAGCAGCCTATCTGCTAATACTCCATGTGCTGGCAATCACGTGAATGGAAGGTTCCGGAAATCAATGCCCAACTGGTTAATTGATTAATTGTTAAAATAATAGGTTTTAGTTGATGTTTTACCTTTTTCCGGATATATCACATCTAAGCTTAGTCAGAATTCAACCACACGTCCGGAGAAGCACTGACCGGCCGTTTCGTCCTTACCGAACTTGTCAGTAACGCGCATTGCGAACTGTCTGCTGTCGAAATATAGAACCAGAGATTCTGCACCTACGAGTCCGTGGTTAAAACCAGGGGGACATGGGGAACGGCAACGATTGGCAAGACTAAGTTACTTGATGCGATGAAGCGCGACGCTGCATTCACCTGCAGTACTTTACTGCTGCGTATAGGACAGGGAGCAGCCCTCGGGCAGCCCCGGCCTTCCAAAAGTAAGCTCGAATAAACGCATGGCATTATAAGCAGTTTGGATTGCATGCAAGGGGAGTTTAGATGGTGTACATTGAATTCAGGAGACACTGCAGCTTACCTAGTTAGTAAACGATAGCGTGGGACCATTAACATCGGCAAAATCAAGCGGTATACATGCTCAGTTCCATTAAGTGTGGACTTCTGAGCAGAGAACGAGTGTTAATTTTCAATCTAAATCAATCTACTGAGTAATGAGCTGTCAATTATAGTACTCAAACAGGTATGTCGATTCGTAGCTAGTTAGACGTGTGATTAGTTCTTCGCTCCGTCCGCGGCTGCTACATGAGTAAAATAGCGTTGATCGCAAGCTGTTCGGCCTCGGTTTTCATACGAATCAAGGGTAGTTCTCTGTGCTCCGGAGATGGCTGCACATTGTCGATGGTACTAGGAGATAGCCAACTGTCGGTTGTTCGACCCATTGTGTGACTAAGACTTCTTGTAGTGTACCGCTCGCTAATGCAGTGGAGATAGATGGTTGACGAAGATCTAAAAGGGTGTACAATGCCTGCTATATGGCATATTGTGCCCCATGCTGAGGCTGATGTTGCATTCTTGATGCTTCTTCACCGCAGTTGGGCTAAACCAACTTACACTTAAACTAGGTCTTTTTAAGCTGGATAAATTACATTCCGCTTTATTTGGTTTGTTCCGCCTCCCTGAATAATGTTCTATTAACTGGCCATGTTGCTTACATGAATTGCGCTTATCTTCGGTAATTTTGTTGCGTTTTGCAGCATTTTTAACTAACTTGTTGACATTTTTTTCTTAACGCGGATTCATTGCTAACCAACTTACTCCATATGCTAATTTAGCGAGGAGTTATGCCACCGAATCTGTATGTATTCTACGATTTACTTTATTTCATCTTGTCATTTCAAGTGATTGGCTGCTGCTTGATATCCCCGAAGTGGTTGCGCTTGATGTGCACGTTGACAAGGTGCCTACCTGTCTAGTACCCACTAACTCGTTCATACTGGCTCCAGGAGACAGTTGGTCGTTGCTGGAGGGGACGGGGTGCACGGTTCTTGTGGCCGTGCTAGGCTCAAAGAGCGGTTCCATGCACTCAGCGTGGAGCGGACTACGGTCCAGCCACCGCCTTGTGTGCGCTTGATTCCCCAAATACAGCGTGCTTGTGTTTGCCTGCGTACAAGTGTGGGCCGGCTCCGTTGATGAAACGTGGCTCCCATCCACACGCCTCCCGGTCTTATTCCTTCGGGTTTACACTGGATATGGGTGTGTGGTTGGTGCAGCGCAAGCCACGCATGGTCCCTTTGTAAGCGCAGGCGTCCTGTGGCTGGCCACAGTGACAGACAAATCCGAAACCGGATACCGCCAACCATGACATATTAAACCATCGGTAATTTGTGCTAATGTCACTGACTGGAGAACCTACAATAACAAGTCTACTCCTCCTGGGTGGAAGTTGGCGGTACCGAGTGAGCCAAGTTCCGAATGCTGTAAAGTAGCTGTGACTCCACATGCACAAAAGTAACCATCGCGAGGTTACTTCCAGGTTAACTGCATAGTCATCTTCGTGATAGATGAAAGGAGGGTATCAAGCCGCTTCAGCCATTGCATAAATGACAGTGGCTTAATCCGGGAAGTCAAAGTGCCCTTAGCAGAAAGCCACCCAGTTAGCAGCCGAGCCGAGCTGGCTAGGGCAACATGTCGCAATGCATGCTTACACAACGAGTGATTCAAAATGACCCACCGGATCAATCATTAGATGTGTCAAGCGTTGTGCATCGTGACCAGGTGACCGAAGGGGTAGAGTCTCGAGATGACAATGCAAAAGTCCTGGTTCCAAGTAGCAGTGCTACCATATCAGTTTAGTGAGCGCAATGAGTGCGAAGCCGGTCTTAGACTGCGGTGTTGTGAGCTAACAACACTTCGCATTTTGCTGTTTCGCATACGATGTCAATGACCGAACTGACCGAGGTTCACTTCAAAGCGAACTACGGTTAAAATGGGGGTGACATGTCGCATTCCAGCCAAACAACGAAAGTTTCAAAAAGAAATCCGGCCAGTACCAGCGGCAATTACAGATAAATTGCATTATCGAAAGCAGGTGTTGAGCTGTTTTGCCCTTTGTGACCCGGTATCCCAGCAACGCTTCCGGCATGCTATTGAGTTGTCTGACCAAAAGAAATCAATCACCGGACTGATTGTTAACAATTGTCAGATCAGGTGGTCGTAAATCTCGCACATTTTAGACAGTCGTGATCAATGTGAGACTTCGCGACGCAAAGTTTTGGAATGTTGCAGCTAAAGTCAAATGGATGTGTTCGGCCAGACAGAGAACAGCATCGGGTGATGAAGAATAACGAAATTTTGGTCACATAGAGCCCGGCATCATCCGGTGACATCTAACGGAAGAAGTACGCTAAAGGTTTCTTACAAGAGGGACGCCAAGTATCTTATTGCACAGTTATAGTACGAACGACTGTCTCAAGTAGAAAACACGATGTACATCAGTTCCAATCGATGAACCAATGTACTATTCGTTGCCCGTCGTTGTGGTGCCCTTATCAGAGCCATGGATGACGGTGGTCACTGCGACAGAGTATTCTCAAGTCGCTCATGCAGGCAACCATAGCTCGATGCGAGACGCGCTTAAGTAATCTTGCATCACGGTTGGTTATAGTCGAAAGAAGAATGTCGCTGTTCAGGCGCAAGAGGAGGAGTAACCGCGTTGGGAAGTAGTATGCCCGCAACACAAGTGACAGATGCAGATGGACAACGTGGTGCATCACATGCGGGCATATGTCCCATCGGTGCAGACTTGATAATTCAATAAAGTGGTCATGTAGCCGGCTATCAAGCTAGTTGCATGAGTCCGCGAAAGTACCGAAACTGTTTTAAGCGTGGTTCGCCAATAACAGCAGACACCGCGGCACAGCAGCTGAGGTGTTTCTCACCTCTAGCAAAAGTGTATAGCGATATAATGACTGAGGCTGTACCGCCCCAGCAGTATGGCCATAAGTATACCCCGTTGTCGAGCTCATGGCCTTTATCTCCTATCATTGGGAGGTCTGGCCGTGTTTAGTTCAAATACTGGTAGGGTGATTACTTATTATTCTCAGTGGTCAAATCGAACACCAGCACACTGTGTTACAACGCTGGAACGAGTCCTTCCGAGGGCAGACCATGGCTGTTGCGTGAGTAGGAGTTTGGTGACCGAACTAGCACATCGCAAACAGCCCGCCAGGCAGAAAGCAGTCAAAACGATTGAGGCCACGTCAAAAACGATTGGACGATCGAGATACACATAGGAGTGTCTTTGAGCTAATAATACGGATGACACTCAGCGCAGAATCTATGCAGTAACCGAGTACTAGCTTCTGATTTTTACTTTGTCTGAACTGGAGGGTCAAGCAGATAGCACTGAAGACAGCAGTACAACACAATGGATGTCGACACCAAGACTATTTGCTTCAACATCCTGTGAGCCGTTGCTAGGGAAGCCGCAATGGAAAGGTTAGGTAAGAGCGTTAAACTCACACAGTGGTTCCGTCATGCAACGGCCTAGCCACTGATCCGAATTCGCACGTTATGCATGGTTTCCGCAACAATACAAATGATTTGCAAGGTGAAGCAGCACAGACCGGCCACAAATTAATCGTAATTCCCATCCACATATTTCCTGGCCATATTCACTTCCGGATGCTAGCCGTGGGTGGTGGAGAGCAAGCCGTCTATGGTTCCTCGGTATGCGTAAGCAGCCTATGGCATTTCGCAGCCACAGTAAAGTGCCCATCTGGAAAACGATGCCGCCAAAAGTGAATACTAGCTGCTGGGCATATAAATAGATGATCAGCCGAATGTAAAAAATGGCGCGCAAGTATAAATTTGTACAGCTTGAAGCCAAATATGAACTAACAATCATAAGTGTTCTCCCTACTCTACTTGTGATTCCACTGGGATCCGAAGGACGATGAACACGGTTGGTTGGATACACTAGCTGACACGATTAAGAGCTGACCTCAATGGTGTTTGCGTTGTGAGTCTCGTTATCCATCCTCTCCTCATTTAGCTTCCCCATCCAACACAATCGCAAACCCCATGCATAGTATGATATTTAGCAGCATGTTAATTTCTGGCTTCTATAATCTCCGTATTGCAGGACATTAGCTGAGGTGTGTGATTCCGCTACACTTGTTGCCCACAGTTGTGGCACTCTTTCTTACCGATGAATCTTCGTTTTAATAACACATCTGCGGTCACTCCCTTGAAACAGAATTGCAGGACGCCCAGTCCGACTATCAAACTTCGTTCAACATCAGTATCCTCCTTGGTGACTACACCACTAAGGGGATTAAGAATACTAGGTTGAAAACACTATTTCGGAACTTTTTAGAGTACTAAATGGTACTGAATCCAGTCAAGCATCCATAATCAGTCTTACTAGCATCGTGCGCCACGGTTTTTAGGATGAATAAAAAAAGGATTCCGGTCAGATTTTCAGAGACATGATTCGATTGCAGTACTATTCCACAAACAAAATTAAGTCACGTAGGGCAACTAGCTCGCCAACAGCTATACACTTCTTAGTTTATTCTTAACTATAGTGTTGTTGAAACGTTCATTGTTGGGTTTCGTAGTGTCTGTGGTGTGGTTGGACTGTGATATGAAATCGCAATTTGGACTATAACCTACTGTAAAGTACACCTAGGTCGTTCCGATCAATGTAATTGATGAACAGTTGCCGGATTGTAGATAATCAATAACAAACGAACAAGGGCTGATGAACGAGATCAAGCCCACTGCAATCATACAGCCATATTTAACTGTGATACCGTCTTAGTACAGGATCCAATCAGTTAGCTAGGCTACTAAATTGCATAGATAGAAATTCGTCACATCTAAACTTCTAAATTGTGCCGAGCGTAAATAGTAGAAAACACGTAAAAATCTTAGGCGTGCTATGGGTTGCGCCAGACCTGAACAAAATCTTTGTCGTGAAGAGCAATCGGCACAAAGAGTTAGGACTTATTTTCTATCAAGGTAATAGGTTATTAGCGAAGCCTGTTGCTGCGGCACCAGACCGTGGTGATATTGTAGCAAGGAGACAAAGGAATTACGTGACCGGAGTTGTTTGAGTTAGAAACCGACAAGCTCACAATTATTGGTGAAAATAAACGGCTTTGGGGATCAGTTTTTCCGACAGTTTAGAAAAATTAGTGCGAGGATTTTGAAAACTAATTCCGTTTTACATAAGGAAAAGTGGCTTGAAAGTATAAGTGACAGACTTATACATGGATAGTGATGGTATTTGCAGGTCGGACATAAATAAATACTATCTTCCTCGATAGTGTGAGACACAGTCCCTAATGATATGCGAGTGTTTGGATGACGTGAAACAGAGATTAGAATTGCCAAAATTGCTAATGGTTGTGAGAACTGTGTGCATGAGCAAAAA